ACGACGTCAGAAGACCCTGACAATAAAGAATCAGATGCACATTTATATCCAGAATGATAAAAGTCTCAGCCTTGATTGCAGTGAATGTGATGAATATTATGCAGATGCACTCTTCCCAAATGGGATGTGATGAAAATGTGACAGAGGGTTTTGATGTAAACCCAACAGAAATGGTTAAGAGCAATAAATGTTTAATTACAGGTGATTTCAGTGCTCATGTAGGAAATGATGTAATTCTCGTAGGTCAAGTAAAATGGCGACCTGTGTATATTTAATGTCCATATAAATATAAACTACTTGTAACATGTCTTTCCTTTCAACGGCCAGTTTCTTTTTAAAATACAGAATTAATGTTTAAAACTTAGGGCAGAGTTTTAGGGATTTAAGTAGTGGAATCTGCTAAATAAATTCAACTGCGATGCGTTCTTACAAACAGGGGCAGACTTACTTTACTACTCACCCCGATAATCCAGAGTTTACAGCAGTCATTTTTCACCTCTGACATTCCTCACTCGTTTGTTTTCCATGTGTAAGCGACAGATGTCAGGCAAGTGCAATGACGACTTCTTACCTTTGATGAAGTGACACGTCCTCCGCCTGTTGTCTCTGCCTGTTGATGTTCACGGGCTCTCCTGGTCTTCGCCCTGCTGACGCTTCGCTTCGCAGACTGGCGTCGCTTAGCAGACTGGTGTCGCAACATTTTTTTCTGGGCCTTTTTTCTGAGAATCTTCTGTTCCCGGGCCACATTGGGATTGTAGACATAATCTAAAAACCCAAAGAATGACATTCAGATTACAGCATTCCGTACACGGTTGTTTCTGATCCCGTCATTTGACATCAGAGAAGAAAAATCAGTGACATTCATAAATCATGTATTACAGAAGAACAGAAACAGTACAATGTATTTTGATCATATCTAATTGCAGAATTAAATGTTTAAGTTACTCCATTTTAATATTATAACATCTCGATGCGTTTCGATATCTGGGTTCTGTTGCCTTGACTCATAAACGTTTCGGAGAAACTGTCTCCAGCTTTCCTCAGCTTTCTCGTCGTCTAATATAAATATCTCCATTTCCCCGCATAGCACTACAGCCCTGAAGATTGTGAAAGTACCTTTCTCCGAAGCGTTGCATCTACTTATTCGCCATGAAAGCTCCTGATAATACAAAATTAATATTTCCATTACAAATATTAAAATGAAGCAAACATTAATAACACTTTACAGTCAGGTCTTCCGTGTTACGTACTGCCTCAGTATCGAGGTTGAAGTCTCTTCAACTGGTACACACCCACATGACTTTGAGGCTTTTACGGCGGTGGGAATGAGGATGATGATTATATTCTGGATTTTGGTGCAGTGTAGACGTAGCAGGAAAACAAAAAATACATAAGCCGTCTGTACCTTTGCTGATTATTACCACTCCAACTATGATCGACTCAAATCATAAAGCATGTTACTGAAGAATAAATACTCAGCAACAGGTCAGTCAATCTCAAATATATCTGAATCAGTGATGTCTCTCAAAATTCTCGGGTACATTTTTTGGAAGTTTTCTGACGTATAAGAGAGCTGCTGCTTATTGACATTAAAAGAAAAATTACTTACCAGGATATTTCTTCCTATGTTCTTCATCCGCCTGGCGGGCCCGAGCAAAATACCCTTCCTTGTCCTTATTTTGAATAGTCCTCCACATACAGCCAAGTCTGCAAATAGAAAAAGTGAAACTTGTAAGAATACAGGCAGGTTGCAGGACGAACATCAAGGGTTGCAGCTGGGTAAAGGCAAAGGCAGTGGTGTTTGAGAGCGCTCAAAATGTTTCACTTGTTCTCGACGATCAGAACATTTTCAGTAAATGGAAATAAGATATCCAATTTCAAATTTCAAATTTCACCTCATGCATACTCTACCCAGTGTGCATTGTAGTGAAGGACGATGACATTGTGAAGCAGTTCAGGACGATTATTCCTAATTGCATGACGTAAGTTATTCTGCAGAGAGGACATTTCCGACACAGATTGGCAGGATTTGAAGAAGGTGAAGCTGATGGTATTCGCCGTCTTCCTCGTCGTTGGCAGTGAGTACTTGATACACTAGGACACTACTTTGAAGGTTGCGAGTCTTAATGTAAGAATTGTGATTTAACTCACACTGATTTTTTTAATCACAATTGAATTTTT